AAGCCTGTACACTGAAAGGGAAAGGGAGTTGTGAGCTGAGGTTCCTCCTTCAATCACCAGCCACAGACCATTTCCCTTGCAACTTACTTTATTGCTCCCAAGTACAAATCACCCATAACGGATCTCTGAGCGTGCACACAGCAGCTTGTTGAACGCAATCTAGTGCTTACCTCCAGGAACTCTCCTTATGAACATGCCTGGATCCCATCCCCCTGGGAGGGACACTCTGCAACCTCCTCTCATGCTCATTCAGTCAGGCCTCCTTCCTCTGCTGATGCCTCAAGAGCAGAGGGGGCTGATCTGTGTCTGAGAATTCCTCATCCTCAGGGACTGGCTGTACATCTTGGCTGTTGTCAGGATCTACCTGGCTCAGAGACGCATCCGGCCTTGAGATATATATTGATTACAAAACTGGAGAGTGTGACCCACAACCAGAAATAGAACCACATGAGGAAGCTGTTATGGGTCAACTCTAGTGAAAACTAGATGAGGACTGTGCACTGCACATTATTCAAGCTTTTGATGGCACAGCAAAGGCAGATTAATGCAGATATAAAAGGAAAGGGTTACCTTTACAAAGAAATAGAGTGATACTTACCACCACCCATTTCATAGGCAACATTTAATAAGACAATAAATATAGGTAAATCAAGATATAGGTCAAATACTTCTGATCTTCATGCTACTCATATTAATTGAGCCATATTGCTCATCATTAAAAATACCTTTGCTGAAATCTGTATTTGTACACAATCTTATATCATTCACCACAAGATATGGAAGGAGCAGGAAAGAGATGGCAAATTCAGGTTATTGACTGGTAACCCACACTATCATGATATGGTTAAATTGTCTTCCCATGCAATATAAAAACACAGGACTGAAGGAATGATGAATCAGGAGTCAACCAGAACCACCTTCTGCATCCTCCTTCTACTATACTCCCCACCACCTCACCTTAGCCAGGCAATCCAAATGCTATCACGGTCAATATTACTGAAGATTGCCGAGAGGTTCAGGAGAACTAGCAGGCCATCCATCACCCAGTGTAAGTCTTCCACAGGGGCGACCAAGGCAGCCTTTAATTCAAACTAGACCAAGACGTACTTAGATTTGAGGGGCTATCATATTTTTGAGTTTCTTACTCCAAAATGGTACACGCGATAGAGATCATCTGAATCCAGTACCAGAGGGTCCTAGCGTGACTTTTTGAAAAGGATCTGACCACGACCTTTTTAAAAGCAGTGGGCTGGTATACCAAAGGTGTTGAACTCTAGATTCTGCTGGACGAGTCTGATTGGTGAAATGGTGTCAGAAGCAAGGCTCTCCAGAGCACTTCCCCTTCCCTGACATTATTTAGTCCCCCTCTCCTCTCCTCTCCTCTCCTCTCCTCTCCTCTCCTCCTCCTTCTCCTTCTCCTCCTCCTCCTGCATGAAAGCTCAGACCCACCCATGAGAACCAAAGTAACTTCAGAAGTCTGAAAACTAGATACTTTTAGCAAGAAGAAAAGCCTGTGCTACTGTTTTATGCAAGTAGAATTGATAAAGCTGCCTCATGGGCCTACATGCAAAATTCATAGTGATAATTAAATCAGCAGAGACTTATTGATACATCACAACTTGCATTGATTAAATAATTTAAGATTTCCATATAACATGTATTATTTAAATACTAACACATTGAAATCATCTTTTCCTCCCCATTGTTCTCCCGGGACAGGAATCAAGTTGCTTAGTAGTACATTGGCCTCAACAGCTTTTTAGCTCTTTTGCCTATCTCTTGGTTTAGAGATGCATAGCAGTTCCCACGTTTCCTTCACTTTCTCTAGCAAACTCAGGTGCTGCGTACTGACAGAAATGGAGCCACTGAGAAACAAGGAGGGGCATCAGTGTGTTCGGAGAACTCCAAAAAGTATAGAAAAGTACAGAACATTTTCTTTTTAAAGATAAAACCCTAAAGGGCAATTCCTCTCTCAAAGCAGCTCAGGAGCAGGAGTGTTTGGGGTTAAGTACATTTATTTATCTGTTGGAAAAGACAAGGACAAGAACACTCAGCCTGAGTTTCTTACAGCTTAGAGCAGCATTCCCTCCAGAAAAAGTGGACTAAAACACCCATCTTCCCCAGTCAGCATAGTCACTGGAATTGAAGCTGTAGTCCAACACATTTAAGGGGCATCAGGTCGATGAAGACACCCTTATAATATCCTGGAGGAGGGCATGGCTGCCTGGCAGGAACCTGAACAGGCACGTTCTTGGTTGGAGAGGAGATGCTGCAGTGTTTAGTTACAGCCCCCCATTTGCTGCACTCTGAATTTGAATGAAGAACAAAACTCAGGCCAGGGCTCTGCACATAATATTGGCTTTCACTGGGGGTCCCATTAGGAGAAAGACGGCAACCTGGACTCCAGTATGTCCCAGTGGTGTGTGTGGCTGTCCATCCACACTCTTTCCCATCTATGTGCATGGCAGCCACTCACTCAAGAAAGCCAGAATGCTGCACTAGGTGCAATGTGGCCATGGGACAAAATCTGCCCAGGTTCTGGTGCTGCATCGCCCAACATCCTCCTGTGTGGGAGCTTGAAAGGGTTGATCCACATCTGTGCAAAGAAGAGCCTCCTCCGAGCAGACCATGCCCATCACTTTGAAACAGTTCCTTGAACTCTTGCTCGTCAAGAAAGGGGAAACATGTCTCCGGCGTAGCTGCACTGCTAAAATAGAGTATATGCATATATTCAATAGTATGAGTTCTTTGCTACTTCCACTTAACATGTTTCAGATTTTTGATAGAACTGGGAGAAGCAATTAGAAACAAAGCAGAGCTTTCTCATTTTAAGAAGCACACACTCATACACCCATGCAGCTGTGTTCTCAGCCTGCAAGTACTTGTGCATGTCTTGATGGGAGCATGTTCTGTTTCTTAGTGTTTCATGTAACAAAAATAACATCATGCAAGAGTATAGTAGAATCAGCTCTAACTTTATAAAGTAGCATCAAAAAGACAGCATGGCTGCCCTATGTTTGTCTAGTCATCAGAAAAGGTCACTGTGTTGCCATGACCACTGCAGAAGACAAAAGGCCCTGATGTTACACTGTTATTCAGCTCTGTTGTCTTTTACACTGCCAAGACAATAGACAATGATCTCTAGTCTCAAACTATTCCCTCTCATCTTTTACTCAATGCTTTTATAAAAGCTTGGTGATAAGCTTGGTGATTCTGAAACAATTTCTTATATTGGGGTTTGGGTTACTGGGGTTTAGGTTATACATGTAGAGTTCTGAATTGCAGAGGATAAAACCACCAGCAAGGAGATGCTCCAGTGAGAGAGCAGTGATTGCTCAGCATGCACAAGGCCACTGAGCAGTTATATGAAATGAATCACTGGACTCATCAGCTGCATTGCACACAATTATGTGGAAAGGCTCCTAGCAAGGAATAATCAGCTGCATTGCACAAAATTATGCGTAAAGGTTCCTAGCATGACCCATGATTTAATATTCAGTAAAACAGTTGCAATAGGACTCAGCAGAAAGGGTACAAAATTGTAGAAATCAGTTGGTTCTTGATTCCAAATAAAAATGGGAGTCCTCTCCAAACCTGCCCCCATCTCAGTTGCCTTTTCTCATAGCTTAAAGCACTAAAAAGACTGCAGGGCAGCTGTAAATTAGGCCTCAGTAACTGTGGGACCCAAGCAACTAGGCTTTTTGTCCCATTTCTGTCCCTGTCTAAGCCCCACAATTGAATTGTAGGCAGACTGAAATGTGTTACTGAGAGGGGCCAACCCATGGCCATAGGCTTGGGAATCGCACTGCCTCTGCTTAAAGCAAGTGTAAAGTGATGCTCATTGGGATTTTAAAAATCTCAGCTTCAAGTATAGATTGATGGGGTTGACTGACCAAGAGAGGTCTTAGGGTTGTGGGGGACACCTTGATGAAAATGCCAACCTGGTATGTGGGTGCTGTGAAAAGGGAAATTCTATATGTTTGTAATTCGGAAGGGAATTGAAAATAGAACTGCCAAGATCTATTTTCAATTCCCCTTATAGAAATCTACTTTGTAACTACACTTAGAGTACTACGTATCATTCTGATCAACTCACTTAAATAAAGGTATTGTAGAGCTGGAAAAGGGCAGAAAAGGGCAACTAAAATGAACAAAGAGGTGGATCAACTCTCCTCTGATGAAATGTCACAACCTCACTTAGCTTGGGAACAAAGTGAGTAAGGGAGAGATGGTGTACAAAATCATGCACGTTGTGGGGAAAAGTGGAGAGGGAGACATTTTCTTTCCCTCATAATATTGCAGCCCAGCGTTGTCTCATTAATCCAGTTGGCAGGAGATTCAGGACAGATGAAAGGATGCAATCCTTACATGGTGGATAGTTAAGCTGTGGAATTCACCACTGCAAGGTGCAGTACTGGCCACCATGGCTGGGATGGCTGTAGGCCACCACTGCCTATGTGTACCAGTGCTGGGGAAAATGGGTGGGAATGTGCTGTTGTGCTTGTGTCCTGTGGGCCGCTGGTTGGCCTGTGTGTGAACGGAAAGCTAGATTAGATGGAGCCCTGACCTGATCCAGTAGGGCTGTCATGCACTCTTATTGCACGTTCTCAGGGCACTGCATCTTTCAAGTAGGCTGTTGATCTTCACTTAGCGAGGTGTGAACAAGGTTTCTTAAGCATTCTGAAACCAAAAGGCAGCTCAGGGACATAAATATTCTTCACACACCACCTGGTATGTTACAAATAAGTTTTAACTTCAGTAAATGTTCTGATTTTTCTATCCCTCTGCACAATAGTTGGCTTAGAGCAATATAAAGTTGTCCTATTCCAATAAGGTCGACATGAGACACAAATATTATTTATGTTTACATCATTTCTTTATGATTCCTCAAAAACCATGTATTCCTATTCCTATCAAATATGCTATGATATGAAATATCAAATCATAGTTCACATAAAATCATTACAATTATATATTCATAAATATACAATTCATTTCAGGGAGAAAATGGCCAGATTGGAACTCCTGGTATTCCTGGTGCTTTTGGTGAAAAGGTAGAACCAGTTTATATCTGTTTAATGTGATTTGATGCTTGAAGTGTCTTATTTGTCCTTTCCAAATTCGTTTTATTTTTATATAGCATCTAGAACAGAATGTTGCATTTTTATGCAGAAACCAAATCCTCCTTTAGCTATTATTTTATCTATTTTTGTTCTATTCTATTTCTATGGTGCCCCAAAACCCAAAGGTTCTTTGGGTGACTATTAAACGCACTTACCAAGTTTCCATATTTCTGCCTAACTCAGAGGGTTGTTTTGGCACTGAAATTGGATAACTCCATATATGTCATCTAAAACTCCACGATGAAAAGATCAGATATGAGAAGTAAAAAAATGCAAAAGTATTTCACAGATGGCAAGAAGGAAGACATAGTATTGATTTATTTCCACCTTTGTCTTCTGCTGAAAACATTGCTTGATACTATGCCATAAAGCAATCATATTATTGCTTCTAAACATCACTGGGAATATAGGAGTGTGTACTGAATATCATCAAGTATGTCTTCTGAATATTTACTAAGGAAAAGACTATTGTTACTGTGTAGTCATTTATGTTAGTGAATTTGTTTGTAGAATAAGCCACACCCTTTCCAGTTTTAGTAGAGCTATCCTGATTTCCTTTTTCTGAGTTGCATAAGGTATTTTTGGATATTGTTTCCCAAAATTTTGCTTGAAACCATACAGCCACTTCTTGTTTTTCCCTCCTTAGCATATTATCTGAGTTCTTGTACACCTAAATATCGAGACATTTGCATTTATATTTTCCCAGCTTGACATCTGGGGTATCTTATTGTCGTACAAAATCACATCAATAAGGCTGTGAAAGTTTCCAGACAAGGCTTGTATTGTGCAATCACCCTGCCTCGTTTGAGGAATGTTATGGGAGTCCAGACAATACGGTCTTTGGTTTGTAGCCCACCCGTGTTTTCCAGCCACTTCTTCCATCTTTTTGCTCGCACAGGAAAGCTGCATAGGAGAGAAAGATGGAATAGCTGCCTGATGTCTTCTGAGCGGTAGTGTTGGGGCCTTCCATATAGACGCATCCTGCAGCATGTTTTTATTCCATTTACTGGAGGTTTTAGCAAATAATCTTAGCTTTAAAAAAAGAGACCAGGATGGCCTGTATTAAACCATTTCTTTTTTGGAGTATAACGTACCCATTAGAACTATTCTTATGGAGATCGGGGAAGGGGGCATTTTAGACCCCAGGCATGTTTTGGTTTTAGAAAAAAATCAAGGAAGGATGCTGAAGTTTAAGGACTTTTTAGACAAGGAATTGTGACAGTGTCTTGAGAGGACAAGTCTGCAGGGCTACTTTTGTATAAACTACACTACAGAATGTGAGGTAGGGGGATTCCAGAACCTTAGTTTCCATCCTGTTTGCCCAAGAAAGCCATACAATATATCTAGGCACTTGCCCGTGAGGTATCAATGAAGCATTGTTTTACTGGAAATAGTCCTGAGTGGCCACTTTGAATGCCCAATTTTAAGTGCAGATGCAATAAAGCCTCTAGCTGTCAGCTGTTCTATTGCTAATTTTAAAAACTGCCACTGGAAATGGCATTGAGTATTTTACTATGAATACTGCCATTGGTGATCTTAGCTATTAAGTCAGGTTGTTTCTCTGCTTGGCATTCATGTGATTATGGAGAATACAGCACAAAGGAATAGGTTGCTCAGTGCAGTGGTGAGCTAGCAAAGGTTGTTAATATCCAAAGGAGCTGGTAACCAATATTCAACAGGACCTAAGAGGGTAAGATCTGACACTATCTCAACTGTACAGGCTCATAAGAAGTTGCTAAAGTGTGCAAGCTTCATTCAGTTCAGCTAGAACTTGCAAGTTATCTGGTATGCTGTGGATGTTTTCTGCAAAATGGCGAGTTTTTCTATTAAGACTCTCATGTTTCAAGGAGGAAGTCCATGGGCTATATTTTAACTGCCCACTTTTAATCAAGAGGAAGATATTTTCCAATCTGAATATTTTTATTCCTAAAGATGAGGCAAAAACAGCCAGGAATAAAGGCAGTATGAACCTGACATTTTTGTTTATTTATAGTGCAATCTTATACATACTTACTCTGAAGGCAGTCCCATTAAAATTCCTGGAATTTATTCCCAAGTAGGTGTATATAGAATTGCAGTGTTAGAAACCCTGCTACTGAGTTTGTGATTAAAAAATACGTTCTGTAATTTTTCAATAAAATGTAGGTAGTTTTTCCTTCTCTGACAGAGAAGTGCAAATGGGAGAAAATGAAAAGCAGTGCTAAATTGTTAAAAAAGGTTATTTATGCTAAATGATCTTTATATTTTCTCCAATTCAGGGTGAACCTGGTTTGCTGGGTGACAAAGGTGAAATGGGAGAAAAGGTAAATAATCCTTGTTTTTACAAATAATTTCTAACTTCACAAGAGTCAGTCCTCATTAATTTATATATAAAACTCCAATTCTCTGTAGATATAATGACAGAGAATTTAACTGCAATGTATGTGCTACTCAGTCTAGGAATGACATGAGTTTTTTTCTTCAAATATTGATAATTACTGTTTTGATTTCTGTGCACTGATCAAGTTTCATCGTAAGCCTAGCCTAGAAAAAGAAAAAAAAATGTTGATAGCCCTTATGACAAGATTGCTGGTAACTATTTGTTCTGCATTTGCAGAAAGCGTGGCCAAGTAGTCCTATTTTAATCAGTCTGGGTGGTTTTTGGGAGTCCGAGACCAGCTGCCAGAAAAAAAAAAGTTTAATTTTGAAGGGTTTTCTGTTCGGCCATTCCCTCATAATTTTGTTGTTCTGCTTTATCCATTTGTACACTGTGTATATGTACACTCAAGCACACGTATACACCGAAGCTTTGTGTTGTGACCACTGCAGTAATTTTGTAACCATCAAGAAGCTCAGGTGGCATGCATGGTCCTTCCTGTTTTATTCTCACAACAACCTTGGAAAGTAAGTTAGGAGAGGAAGAGGGACCAACTCAAGGTCACTAGGTGAATATCATGGCTAAGCAGAGACTTGGTCCAGGGAGGCTTGGTACAACACAATGGCTGGGTTCACGCAACACAACAAGCAAACTGTTATGGTTAGTATGGTTCCTGAATTTTTTACCATGATCTACCTGACAGATGATCAATTAATTTCTCTGTTATCATGGCTTCCATCCTCCCTATTCACTTCTCCCACCGTTGCCATGTGTCCCATTAGCCACTGCACCTGAAACTCAGTTGCAAGATGCATCAATCCCAGCCTATGTTGTCCGCCTCTTCCTCATTGTCTCCACATAGAGGCTGGATGACTGGAATGATTTTTACAGTTGGTGCTTTTTCAAGGGGGCTCTGTAGTAGTTGCATACCAGGAACCTGGAAACCATGAATCTGAGTTCAGACAACACAAGCCATGGTGGTACAGAGAAATTACAGAAGAAACCTTTGTTTCTTACTGTAGTTGCTAAAGTCCACACTTACACAGTGGCATACCACAACTGGGTTCAGAGAACATGACAGACTAACAATGGTAAAAACCCACCAGGGCTTGCTATGTCATCTGAAACCAGCCACTAACTACTTCACTACCCTGACTTTTCAGAGGCAAGCAGCCCTATTTACTGAGTGTATAAGCCAAAACAATATAAAGAGGTACTGTACTTAATATCTCATCCTATGAAGCACTACACCTTCAAAGTGAGGGCACAGATTTCTGGAGAAGCATGGTCTGCCTATATAACTATACACAGAGCTAGCATGTTGAGTCACCTTTGCTAAGATGGAAAGGCCTGGGCCTGCAGCTGGATTGGTGACCACAATAAATGCATAGCAGGGGGTTGGACTCAATGGCCTTAGATACCCTTTCCAACTCCTCTCCTCTCCTCTGAACCAGTGTTACAGGTCCATCTTTTGCCATGAGCCAATGCTGCTGTGCCAACAACAGCTACTGAAGTCACAGGCCCATTGCCAGATGAGGTCTTTGGTGATCTTCATATAATTTTATTTATTTATTTATTTATGGATTTATATCCTGCCTTTTTCCTACAAAGGGCTCAAGGCAGCTTACATCATTCTCCTCCTCCATCTTATCCCCACAACAACATCCCTGTGAGGTAGGTTGGGCTGAGAGTCTGTGACTGGCCCAAAGTCACCCAGTTGGCTCCATGGCTGAGCGGGGACTCGAACCCGGATCGTCTGAATCCCAGTCCCATGCTCTTAACCACTATCAGCTTCCAAAACAATCACATGTGAATAAGCCCCTTCCTGTAGGCACTTGTTTGATGCCTCCGTGCCATCCACACTGGCTTACAAGCTCATTCCCTCTATATAAGTTGGCTTTCCTGTAGTGCTGAAAGGAGCCCCATGTATTCCTGCAGGCCAGCCGAGTGTTTGAGCTAGACATCCATGGTCCTGCTGGTATGACATGAGAAATGCTGGAGATGACATTTGAAAGACCTTGAAAGACTTTAGATGACCAAAATGGCCACAGTGAGCAGTCCCAGTGAGTGTTGTGAGCTGGGTGTCCCCTGCCACTGCAGCACTTCTTGTAAGAAACTTTATTCTACACAGGAAATCTGAGCATTCACAAGACTCTGAACCAACACAAGGAGAAGTGTTGACCCCTCTCTGTCCCCCTTTACCCAAAGCTTTGCTTATGAACTCTTCGGGGCCAGTCTCTGAAAGGTGGGGCACTGTGAAAACACGTGCGCCTCCATTCTGCACTCTGAGCCCCTACTTGGTCCAGCCTGCAGCTGTGATTACAGGCCCTGGGGTCCACACCTTCAGGTGTTCTCCTTCCGAGAAATCTCCCCCCTCCCGTCCTTTGTCTGCCTCATTCCCACAGGAGGGAGGAAGACTGGGCCACGTGGGTGTCCTTGAGCTACTTTCCTCCAGAGCAGGTGCAGGCCTGTCAGTTACAGCAACAATTCGGTTGTCAGAGTGTGAGCTTTGAGACTGTTCTGGTTCAGCCATCCCCACATCATCCTCCAAGTCTGAGCTATCAGTCCCACCAAAGCAGGCCGTCTCTCGTGTGCGCCTGGGAATCTCGTCAGAGTGCACATGCAACAATGAGTTTAAAAAGAGATGACGGGAGGGCAGGGTCAGATTTGCTCCACTCTCTTCATATAGGATGTTACTGTAGCAGAATGAGTGGACATATCGACATACATCTTTAGGGCTCGGAAGCAGGTCATAATGCTTTTTCTGAGTGCAAATGAGAAGTAATGCAACATGGGTGTGAAAGTGACCAATGTGTTATAGCCATGGGCATGCACATGCCATTGTAGCAGCTTCTTGGAAACTCTTTGTAACTGATAGAATCTGTCTTCCCACACCTTACATGGTTTCTTGTCTAGAAGTGTATATTACTATACTTACAGAATTGATTTAGTAAGCTGTCTTTCATTTGTAACTGACAGAACATGTTGTCTGTGTCATATTTTTTGCTTGCTTGTTGCCTATTGGGAAGTCCCCAGTTGCACTGCTGTCTTCTAAATGACAGATGAAACCTTCTGCGTTTGAATGAAATCTCTCTGAGCTCTTCCGGTGAAAAACTGGGATGAGTTACTGGAGGAATACATGGAGCTTGTGAGCAGCTTAGCCTGCTCTTTCCTTGAGGCAAGACAACACAGGCAGGGCTGGGGTGCGCCATTCTTGTAGGGAAATTGCTTGCAGGCTAGGACAATGTAGTGACCCCAGGCTTAGCCACTGAACAGAGTGCTTATATAAAACGTCTGTGCACCTGGGGGGAAATTGAGCCGAGGTTGTATTAAGGCAGCTAAGTAATTCTCTCCAGTTATGTCCCAGCACTTCCTCTAATGAAGTTGCACTAGCATAAATCAACATTTGTGCAACATGAATAGTGTTTGCAACCAAAGTTCACTGTAATTGCTTTGTGTGAGCAGTGGTTTACACTTTTGCAACATCACTAGTTCTAGTTCAATGGCGCAACTTTTCTTTTTCATTGACAGTGGCTCTTTGCAGTCTTTATCTTTAACCCCTTGAATTTCCAGAATGTCTTGAAATATGTCAAACGCCACTGTTTCATAGACCACAGGTAGGTCTGATCACTGCAACTCTTCAAAGTGGAGGAGTTTTTAAGCTATAGAATACAAAAAATGGCAAATTAGAAAGAATCTTATCACAAATGATACACCAGAAAGTAAAACAGCCTTCTTTGGGAAGCCGGGGAAGCCTGTCTTTAAGTTATTACCCTTTTAGTGATTTTAAGTCGGTCCCCAGCAGCTGTGCCAAAGCATCCTTAGGTCTTGCCGTTCTATTTTATTTGGATATCGGGCCACGGCTCCAGCTGCTGCTGCCACTCTCACTGAACTATTTGCGTTCACTTTTCCTTCACTCTAAGAGTAACTTTAAAAAATGTACAGCCACCAATACAAATTGTTTTCTGGGCTTGGTCTTGATTCTGAGAAGTGTGTTGTGGATTTCCAAGATATTATAAGGCACACTGAATCCTTAAAAAGAGTTACCATTCAATTATCTGTATATTTTGAAATAAATACATGGTGATAATGATCAGCTCCATAAACAATGCTACCATAATGATATTGTCCCTGGCAGAGTCAAATGGTTTTTACTCTATGAAAGTGTCTGGAACATAAGAGTGGATTGACAACAAAATATAAATTCCTCCCCCCCTCCCCCGAGAAACTGTGAAAATCTCTCTTTATGAAGAGTCTTGCGAATCTGAACTAAATATCTCATCCCCTGAATCCTTACGAAGTTGTTCAGTACCAGCTGGCCACTGCACCACTTCCAGGCACAGCCCACAGGAAGATTACTGAGGAAAGTTTCCTCACAACATTGAAAGTGGAGTTTCATAAAGGCGTGAAAGTTATGAGGCATAAAAGATAGGAGGGACACAACTAGCATTTCACAAGGCTATGGTAGTCAAAAAAACAAACCTAAGACTTTTTGACTCATTTTGCCTGGATGGCACCTGCAGTTTTCCCTAGAATGTTCATGAAGGAAAGCGTTCTACAGTTGTTAAGCACACACTCCAGCCACGTTTTTTTGCTTCCCATCCTGTTAAATCACCACAATAACCCCCATTTTTACAACTAGCAAATAGGATGGCAAAATGGAAGCCATTTTGCAAGTTCACTACTGTGAAGTCTTTCCACTTTACCCAATACCTAATCCTCTTCAGTCGAACAACACTGCTTATCTAGACATGTGGGAATATAATATTTAAAGACTGTTCAGTGTTACTTTCTGAAACTGTGTTTGTTATATTAGACAACGTTATCCAATATAGGTTAACTTAATTTGCATTGGAATGAACAAAACCTGTCTGTAAAAGTTTGCATGTGATTGAGTTTAATTACTGTTAGAATTTAAGATTTGTGATGAAAACCAAATCCAACAGA